GGTGGGGGGGCGACACTGAGGGTTGCGATCCGTTGCCGGACACAGAAAAAGACAAAAAAAAAAAAAACTGAAGGACAGAATAAGACTCTCCAAATTATACACCATCATATACATTTTGATATTTATTAACAAAAATGGTCCAAAAAAGGATTGGGTCAAAATTACAAAGTGATAAGGGTTAAAATAAAACTTGTTTTTAGCTGTATTGTTTCTGGGGGACTTTAACCAGTCCAGAAAGCTGTTTTTATCTCCCAAAACAAACTTAAATCACACCATTCAAGTGACATATTTCNAATAGGAAACAAAGAGGAAAAAGGGTTACTAAACTGCCCAAGGATCAGTCACTGAAATAATCTTCTAATCCCTCCATATCCATATCCAGAGAGGAATTTAAAGAGGCCTGAGCAGATGATGCATCCTTGGTTTTTTGGATGCTTGGTTTTGGTTGAGGAGTTTCTGGCTGGCTAGATTCCTTCTTGAGGTCTTTACCACCATTTAGAATCCGTTGGCTCTCGCAAAAAAACTGATTAGGATGACTCAAAGAAAAGCCACAATCATCCACCTGTACAAAGAAGCAAATTTATATCACATTAATACATAGCAAAACTATAAAAACAGAGGTTTCAAAACCTGTCCCAGCTCTCACTCAAAACTTAATACCTGAAACATGCATCCTAGCTGTTCTCATTCATAGCACTCAATCCACAACTTACACTATTTCATTCAGTGGGAGCTTCAACCACCACCCAAACATTAATGGCTTCCTCATTTATATTTCCAGCCNTACACGTGCCACAATGTATGTTAATGACGCACAGTTAGGGACCTATATGATTCATTATTGTATCCCCAGTTCCAAGCAAAAGACCTAGCATGCTGTGGGCCAATAAATATTTGTTTGTTTGTTTTTTTTTTTAAAAGCCATCTTATAATCACTTTTGATCATTTTGATACTGGTCCCTGACACCACTCATATTTTAGAGCTTATTTATAAGCCTGCCATATGTAATCTCATCTACTATAATACAAACTCCAAAGACTTAATGTAATTCTAATCTTGGGCTTTCCCTGGTCTTACTTTTTATAGAAAATCTTCTTTTTGTAATTTTCACTGTGATTTAATGAAAACATGCCTAGGTTCATAGTTTTATATTATTTCTTTTCTCAAATACTATCACTTAACTTTAATTTTGAATATCATTTCAAATTATGAATTACTCTGTGCCTTTAGTACTGAATGAGGCTTTTTGAGGATATCAATAGTTTTTGTGTTTGAACACTCAGCAAATACTACTTTTTCCACATTTTGATTCTAAAATTTACTAATTCTTAACAAAATTATCTTAATACTAGCAAACACTTATTTAATGGCTACTGTGTGTCAGACATTGCTCTAAGTAGCATAAACACACACACACATATATACCCAGGTAAGTCCCACAATAGTCCTACAAAGGTAGATTATCAGTGTTCTCCCAGTTTTCCAGATGAGGCATCTGAGAGAGATCATCACATGCTGGCAGGGCTGGAGACGGGATGTGAACTAGCAGAATCCATCCTCATAAACAGTATGCTCTGCTGCCTTGTCCTTGTGCCAAGGACAAGAATTTTATATTGTATNATCATCACATGCTGGCAGGGCTGGAGACGGGATGTGAACTAGCAGAATCCATCCTCATAAACTACTGCTCTGCTGCCTTGTCCTTGTGCCAAGGACAAGAATTTTATATTGTACTCATTCCTTAAAACTTGTAAGTCTTTACTAACTCTTGGAGATTTCTATAGATGTGTGACATAAGAGCAAGATAACATAAGGAACTTTCTCCTGAAGTGTGAACCTCCAGCATGAGTCACTTTCTTTACATTCAAACAATGGGTTAGACTGAGTAGATTCCATATAAGCCCAATATAACTCAGATCCCTGCCTTCTCACCTTTTGTGATTGGAGTTGACAACAAAAATACCATTTTGCTTGAGTTACTTTATTGGGGTTTTTTAGGTGGTATTTTCACTTTGAATTTTTTTGGAAACTGAGAAGCCATTGTATTTCTTTTGTTCATCTAATATTCACCAATCTTTTTACATCTCACTCTTTGTACTGAAGTGACTTGTACACAGTAGATATCTAATAAATATTTGCTGAATTGAGCCCAGAACTAGCCAGTGTATGCCAGTCATACATTTCACATGTCAAGTGAAGATTTACTATGTACAAGGCCGTGTTATGAGCTAGTACTTTTTCAACATACAAGAATACATTTGACTAAGAACAACTCTAAAGAAATTTCCAGCCTAGTTAAAACCTCTATCAAGAATGGAGAAGTGATAAAGGTCACAGATAAAGGCTTATTACACTCCACAGTACAGAAAAATTCTAGCTGGTGAGATCAATGAAGGCTTTATAAGGGAACTGCTATTTGAGTTGGGTCTGGAAAGATAGAGAGTGAAAAGCTGGGATAATGAGGCAAAGGGCAATATAGGAAGACCACATGAGCAAGGTAAAGAGGGAATGTCCTGGGAAAGCAAGTAGTTCACATAGCCTGGGGTGAAAGGCACATAAAGGGAAATAAGAGGAAATGAGGTTGGAAAGACAGGCAGGGACCAGACCTTAGAGAGCCTTAAAAACCAGGGTAGACCAACTAGACCTAATTCTCTAGGCAAGTCGTTAAAAATCCTTAAGAAGAGAGGTGGTGTGATTAGAGAGATGTATAATCTTACGGCAGATTAAAATGGATTGGCAGGGGAAAAAAAGGAGCTGCTGTTATGGTCCAGAAGAATCCCTCCTGATGGGTGGACCAGTAAACAGAAACAAGGTCTTTTCTGGTAATACTTGAGCACCCCAGGATTCTGTAAGAGAATTGCTTTACTTTTTTTTGGCTGTTTAATTTCAAAATGTTTCCTGAATGTTTTATGATCCATTTATAGTTTTTATTAGCAATGGAGTCATTTATGAACTTAATTATATTCAGTTTTCACCCAATTCATTAAAAACTGGGAGATCCAGTATAAACTTAGCATTTTGCAAAGTGTTTCATGAAAAGTAGGTATACTGCCTAACATTTCAA